GAAAGAGCAGTGAAAGATAGCGGCGAGGGACGAGCCTCACCAGCACGATGCGGACGCCGATGGCAATGCTTCCTTCCTTCGCGGCGAGGGAGGAGAGCGTGATCTTGCTAACGTAGAATCCCGACTCCACGTCCAGTCCCACGTCTGCAAGCAAACACGAGAGCGAATGTGTACATTGTGTTATGTGTACATTGTGCATGTAGATTGTGTACAGTACACAATCTATTATCCGAAATTCTGAAAACCGAAAAGCTCATTAAGAATTGCACGACCGCGTACATGTACACCTTCAGTACACGCACGACCGTGTACATGTACACCTTCAGTACACGCACGACCGCGTACATGTACACCTTCAGTACACGCACGACCGTGTACATGTACACCTTCAGTACACGCACGACCGCGTACATGTACACCTTCAGTACACGCACGACCGCGTACATGTACACCTTCAGTACGCGCACGACCGCGTACATGTACACCTTCAGTACACGCACGACCGCGTACATGTACACCTTCAGTACACGCGGAAATTCAAAACGTTTCACGGCGCGACCAGTGCGAGGTCAGATACTATCTAGCAGTGGACAGAGAATTTCATGAGAGCACGCATGCGTGTCTTCCTGTCACCCAGTAAATGTACATCACTCCTCGCACGGTTGCCGACGTAATACCCCCTTCTACCTATTGTATGGTTACCTTAACCCTACCCTTAACCCCTTCTACCTATTGTATGGTTACCTTACCCCTACCCTTAACCCCTTCTACCTTTTGTATGGTTACCTTACCCCTACCCTTAACCTCTTCTACCTTTTGTATGGTTACCTTACCCCTACCCCTAACCCTCATTTTGACTTTCTGCATGCATACTTACCTTATTTCTAACCCCCTTCTTGACCCATTGGCCTCTCACTCATACATCTAACCCCGTTCTCTAACCCCGTCCTTTTAACCTTTCACTCACGCCCCTAATCCCGTTCTCGACCTTTGACCTCTCCCTCGCTCACCTTTCGAGTCGCTGAGATGCAGGGAGACGGAGTGCAGCAGGCGGGCGTTGTTGGCACGGCGACGCCTCACCACAAGGTTGACGAGTCCGCCGCAGCTGCGCACCGCCTGCAGCGCCATCTTCTGGTCGACGCTCATCAGGTCGACGTTGTTGACGCGCACGAGGCAGTCGTTCACCCTGCGGCGGGGCAGAGGGAGCCACGTGTCACATCACCGTTTTTTTGTCACGGGAATTTTTATTCGGGGATTTTTTTAAGAAAAATATTTTTAAATATTAGTTTCTATTGTCACACCAGTACAGGTAATTTCTTTCGTAAATTTTAAATCAACATTGCGCCGTTACCTACACACCGAATTTCACCACAAGGGATGCAAAATCAGCGCGAGAGCTCCAATGAAGGATCCCACAAATCCGGGAAACGTTTTTTATTTTCCCGGTTAAATTTCCCGACGAAGTTTCCAAGATGGCCGACACCACGACGACGACAGACGTACTTACCTGAGCTTGCTGTCGGCGGCGCCCCCTGGCCTGACGTGACTGACGAACAGTGACGGGTCGTTGGGGCTCTGCGGGTCGTCGCGTCCGCCGACGACATCAAAGCCAACGTGCGATCCGTCCGTGACATCCTGCGGGAAGAGACGCGTGCGGGAAGTCAGACAGGAAGTCAAGCAGGAAGTCAGATGGGAAGTAAGACAGGAAGCAAGATGCCGAAGAACAATGATCCTTTCCGGCAATTTTTTTTCTTTCGTTCAATTTAGGTTCTAATTTACGTTTCTCATTTACGATTATATATTTTCTTTATAGTTCTATTATATTCATAATTAAGTTTTATTAATTAGGTGTTGTACTAGGTATGTTAAGTATTTATGAGTGTTGTCTCAGAGAGGTCAGATACTATCTAGCAGTGGACAGAGAATTTCATGAGAGCACGCATGCGTGCCTTCCTGTCACCCAGTAAATGTACATCATTCCTCACACAGTTGCCTGCAGATATGCTGGGTCATAGCATGTCTGAACCGTATACATAGAGTGTCAATGATGTATATGTTAGAGGAAGCCATAGTCTGTATGTACCATATATATTAGGCTAACCGCAGTGTGTCAGCACTGTATTATACATCGAGCTAATCACAGTCTGTCTGTACCGCGTAAATCAGGGTAACCACAGCACGTCAGTTCTGTACTGTACAGGTTAGGGTGTACATACCATATACACCAGGGTAGCCACAGTGTGTTAATACCGCATACATTGGGGTAGCCACAGTCTGTCTGTAGTACATACATCAGGGTAGCCACAGCGCGTCAGTACTGTACAGGTTAGGGCGTACATACCATATACAGCAGGGTAGCCACAGTGTGTTAATACCGCATACATTGGGGTAGCCACAGTATATCTGTAGTACATACATCAGGGTAACCACAGCACGTCAGTGCAGCACATGTTCAGGGCGCGTACATCAGGGTAGCCACAGTGCGTCAGTACTGTACATGTTCAGGGCGCGTACATCAGGGTAGCCACAGTGCGTCAGTACTGTACATGTTCGGGGCGCGTAGTACGTACCATGTTGAACTCGAGCGTCTCCGTCTCCCACTCCTGCAGGTCGGCGTCGATCGCCGAGTCGCGGCTGTGGTTGTGCCCCACCGGGTTCATCATCACCCTGTGCATCTCACGCTCCGCCTGCGCTTCCAGCCGCTCCCTGCGAGGGTAGAGGACCCACAGGGTAGGATTACGTACAAGGAACTCTGTATAGGTATTATATTATTAACAACTATTTACAGCTATTAAGTATTACATCCCCCCACATCCTCCCTCAGCATCCTCCTCCGTAGCCTCCGCCTCACCCCTTCATCCTCCCCCTTGCT